TATTAGAGAAACAAATTTCAAGTGCAAGATGTTATTATAAACAACACAAAAGAGGAATAAAACTCGGAATCAATCACACCTCTTCAAGTTGAGTTCTAAGTGTTTTCATCTAATATCTCAGTTTTCAATCCTAAAAACTTTTAAATCACAGAAAAGCAGCTTGTAAACCATACTATCTGATAAATATGTATTGATAATTCTTTTCCATTAGAATTTTATACCCTGAAACCTTAATAGCCTTTATGTACATCAGCAGTATCACACTCACACAGAAATGATCCCTACTAGTTGCACATTGACTTAGAAAACCACATATTAACATTAGCTATGTGGTATGATATTTTTTGAGGCAGCTGGTGGCTAGAGCACTGGGCCTGGAGTAAGGAAAACCTCAGTTCAAATCCAGCCTCAAACACTCACTAGCTGTGTAAACCTGGCTAAGTCCCTTACCCTTTGTTTGCTTTAAATACAGTAGAGAAAGAAAAGACAAACCACTCCAGTATCTTTGCAAGAAAACCTCATGGACAATACTGGTATGTTGTGACAGGGTCACAAAGAGTCAAACATGACTAAACAACAATCACAACAATGATTTTTATTTCATTAAACATTTCGCAATTATATTTTAATCTAGTTCAAGCCAGCCTGACACCTCTGATGTACCTTACACCTATGACCTGAACAACAAAAAACATTCTTCAGAATATCTCATTAACCAGCCTTACAGAAAGAAGAAAACTGAAGAATTAAGTTTGTGATGCTTAAGTTAGCTATATTTTTGGCTTAATTTTTTTAGCAAATTTTCTGTTAACTCAAAGTCTAGACCTTAGTTTATTAATTTTTATTTGATTTTAAACCCACAAAAAGTATTTTTGCTGATATTTTAGATTCCTAGGTACTTGGGAGGGTGGGTAGCATTCAACTTTTTTTTAAAATTACTTTAGGGCTCTAAATTTAAGTTTCTGCCTGAAGCAAACTTTTAACCACTTACCTGAAACGCTGAAAAAACAGGCTCTGGTGAAATGCAGGCACAATGTATTATAGTTAGGCTATAAAAAACTAATGAAAGTAGTGACGAAACTAAAACTTGATGGGGGAGTTTTACCCAATTAGGGTTGGTTTGTTGTTGTTGTTTTTTTTTTTCCAGTGCTGAAATACATTTTGAAGTCAATAGCTGTCAGATGACTGGCACAAGTTCTTGCCAGTCAATGATAAGATCCTAGGTGTTATTTAAAGCAGGCAAGTATAGACAAGAATATAGGGCCTGTAATGCACACAGAAATTAATACAATTAGGCTATTGCTTAATGTGTATACTCTGGCACATAACAAAACATATGCTAGTCACAATTAGTTTCCATTTTCTCGTTATCGAGGCACTTATAAAAGTAATAAATGCTAAAAGAAATTTTAGTATCTTTCAACGCTAGCTTCAAGTTGACAATCATTCATCAAGTTATTATCTTAAAATTTACCTTGAGAGAAGCTGCCTAAGAGAAGGCCCCCTACAAGAACACCACAGAATGTCTTTAAAAAAAGTAAAATAAAAAAAAAATCAAGCCCTACCTAGAAATACTTTACTTAAATCCTTTTCCCCTGCTTTCGGTGTAACAGAATATTACAAATCTTTTCTACTCTTATCATATTTCATATGATGGATACTCTATTATAATAAATTCTCAAAACAAGACATTAGCAAGATTTTGCTAAGAGACCTCTGACAACCTAATACACTTCTAATTTATCACGCTTCAATTCCTCGACATAAGACTTACGTGTTTGCCGCTCTAAGCAGAAAAGGAAACCAGTTATTCTTATTGGTGGAACTTTGGATATAAAATAAGGGCCAAGTGGTAATACGAATCACATGGATAATACAAAAGATTCAAATACACTACAAGTTTAAGGATGAAAAGAAAGGCACTGTTACTCATGAGAAATAGAAATTGGAAGTTGAGGTGACCTGGGTTTTATTCTGCCAACTAGCTCTTCAACTATGCACAAGTCACTTAATCTCTCTGGGCCTCAGTTTCTTCTTCTGTAAAATGAGGGGTTTGGACTAGATTATGTCTAAGACCCTTTAGAGTTTATGAGTCCATGGCTAGGTGATATCCAAGCACTTTTTTTGATTATTCAATTGTTCAATGAAAGGTATAACAGTGCACACTTATTGCTATCTTTACAGGACTGCTGAGAGAAGAGCACTTTGTAAACTGACCTTTACCAAATCACATAAAACTCTCTGGGCCAGTTTCCTGTAAAAATGCAAGGATTCAACAATAACAGCTGACTCTCTTGCTTAGCACTTGAAGGTTTGCAAAGGACATTACAGACATTATAGCATTGGAGCCTCACATGGATCCTGTTTAGAGGGTCCTATTATCATTGAGATTTCCCAGATGAGGAAATAGGGTCAGGAAAGTTGTGACTCTCCCATGGACACAGAGTTATTGAACTCAGGTTTCTCCTGATTGCCAGTTCAAAGTTCTTTGCACTAGACCCTGTATCATTCAATGGCCTTCAAACTGATCTAAATGAAAGGACAGCCATTTGTAGTGGAAAAAGCAAATCTTGCCTTGTGAAGCTGGACAACTCACCTCTCTCTGAGCATTACTTAGTTTCCTCATCTGTCAAGTAAGGATAATACCTATAGTATCTCCCTCACAGCTACATTATGAGGGTCAAATTAACTGACATGATAAAACCATATGGAAATCTTAAAGCATTTTATAAAGGATGTCAGTTATTAAGATGCAATGATTCCTTGAAACTTCACTCCAGATATGTGCCACTATGATAACATAATAGAGTTATCAACTCTACCTAAAAGACTTTTAAAGATTGTGAAGCGCTTTAAATAGGTTATCTCATTTGAGCCTTTACAATAAGGCTACCAGGTGGGTGCCACAGGTGGTATTATTCTTGTTTCACAGATGAGGGACCCAAGGCCCAGGTAAGTTAAGTGATTTACATACAACTAGTAAGTGTCAGAGATGGAATTTGAACTCTGGTCTTTTCTACTTCAAGTCAAACCCCCCTATCCAATAGGACCATACTACTTCATGGCACTGCACTTGAGGTTGAGTGCATATGGAAAAAAAAAATGGTCCCTATTGTCACAGGACTATCAAGTGAAAGAAAATGCTGTTACCTTTTCATTATGTTTTGCTTAGGATCAAGTTAAAGTAATTTTTCTACCTAGAAAACCCAATAGGAAGGTCAGTAACCATTCAGTTCCAGTAGGTTATCCTGCCATTCTCCCCTAAATGCACTAGGGGCAGGACATTAACTTTCTTACAGATGAAAGTAAATGAACTACGCTGTCAAGGCCACTTGCGTCCAGTGAATGCTAAACCTGTATTGTTAAAACAACCCAGAATTCTTGAAAGAACAACAAAAAAGATCCTCTTTGCTTTCTTCCTGTGGGCACGGAAATAAATGATATGAACCTGGGAAAGCATTTGTCTAATAATGTCACTCAAAAGAGAAAAAGGAAAGTCAGTATTTAGAGTTAATTTAATTGTGCTTCTCAAGGCACCTGTACATATGGTTCCATTTCTTACTTTGGCCATTAAAAATGCTATTTTCCACAAATGGGATAAATATACATCCTGAGAACAGAATGGTTTGAAGACATAATGTTACATCCAGTTAAATTAAGTAACTTATTAAAAGGGTACAGCATACATTTCATTGCAAAACCATTCCATTGATGAGTCTGTGGGGAACTACCCAAGTTTCATCAACTCTCCCTTGGACTTAATGGAAAACCACATTAAACTGACTCAAGTCATGCTTAACTCTGGGTCATTTCAAACCTGAAATCTGGGAAATACAGAAGAATTAAATCAGACTAGAGGAATAAATCCATTTCTAGAAACCAAGCTAATTCCGTTTGATGAGAGAGATGGTTTTAAAATAAATTTTGTATATTTTTTTTAAAAAAGTATGTTGTCCTGGTATCAAGAAAGAAGCTTGTTTAATCATTATTAACAGGGCCTTTTCTAAATTTGTTGCTCATCTTTACAACTCTCATAAATGAATTTTTTCGAGCCAAACATTCACAACTTTCAACAAAATTTTCAGTTTAAAGAAAAATCTTTTGATATCATCTGTAATTGCTCCAAACCCTAAAAAGAGAAACACTTGGAGGATAACAAATCTTAAATACCAAAAACTCTGGCAGGGAGTAAGAAAAAGAGTAAATTAAATCCTTTCCCCTATTTCTTTTACTTTATTACCCTGGCCTGCCTTGTAAGTATTTGAACCCCTGCAGTAAGCAGTGAACCCCTCTCACAGGAAGCCAAGAAGTTTTTCAAAGGAAATACCAGAGCCCTTCTATGAGAAATCAAGCATTTGGCCATGTCCTTGTTTCACATTTTAGTGGACTTTCTGCAGAAAGGCAATCTTGCATATCTAACTGCTTTTTCCTGGTCCTTAGCTCACAATCACATTCAGTGGCCCCACAGCCCTTTGACTTACCTAAGAGTTTACATACAGCCTGTGACACAATCATGAGCAAACAGTCTACACAAAAGGAAACTCACCTTCTGCACATCCTGGAGAAAAGTGGGAAGAGGAGACAATGCAAAAGCTGCCAACATTTGCTCATCGAGAGCCTCCTCCCTGGGGAACTCATTTCATACAACTTTAACTTTTTCTTTTTTCCTTTTTTTTCTTCTAAAGTTTCTCCCTCATGGGTTAAAGAGAAACCCTAACAGTGTATTTCAAGCGGGATATGGAAAGAATTATTCACCCAGCTCAACAAGTGGTCCCAGAAAAGCGATCCTGCCCGGCCGGGAGCCCCAACTTCGCGGAGTGGCAGCGAGACTTAACTCGGGAGCCCCCGCGACCCTTTGGCTCCAGGTTTTTAACAAAAGCAGCCCAGCGCGGACTCGGGGTGCGGGGGAGGAGAAGCGAAGAGACCGAGCAATCCAAAACGAGCCCTCCCCGTCTCCCCTCCCAACCCCGCCAGCGAACCCCAGAACCCTAACTACTCACCTCACTCAAGAAGTTATCCATTGTTTAACCGGACAGCCCAACCGCGGAAGTCAGCAGAGGGAAAGGTCTGGGTCAAGCATGTGTGTCAAGCTCCCCGGGCGCTGCGGACGGGCTCTTCGGGGCTCTTCAGGGCTCGGGCGGCTTGCACGCTGCCATCTCTTCCTGCCCTTCTTCCCTTCCCTTCCCTTCTTTCTCACCTTTCGGGGGTGGGTGGCTGCTTTTTTTTCCCCGATTGTTTTATCCAAGTGTCTTAAACTCGCTCGGTCCAACGGGAGCCTTTGTCTCTTTCTCGAATTTCCTCAGTTCTGAGTAAAGTGCTCGCAGAGGGAGAGCAGCTGGTGGCACATTCTTCTCCAAGGACGAGGGGGGAGCTGAGAGCCTCCGGCTCCCGGGCGGGCGCGCACGCCAGCACACTCACACTCACTCACACACTCACCCTCACGCCGGCAGAGGCGCGGCGGGGCGAAGGTCCTGCCACAAAGAAGCACGGCTGCGATCTCCCGGGGCCGTGCAAGAGGCTTTCTGCCCCAGCACGTCCTTCCGCGGCTCCCGGGACGCGCCCCCCGCACCCTCTCCCCGACACAGCCAAAGCCCAGCGCGAGTCCGGGCCACCCCGCTCGCGGCTCCGCTGCCTCACTCGGGAGCCCCAGGGGACCAGAGACCCCGCCCCCGCCTCGCCAGGAGCCAGCGCTCGGCCAATCCTGGCCCCGCGCTGCTTCGGAATTCCGACCCAGCCGGCGCGAGCGATCCTCCCCCTCCCCCTCCCCCCTCCCCCTGCCGGGCGCCCGCCGCACCTCCCCTCCTCCCGCCCCGCCCCGCCCCGCACCTACCTCCACCGCTCCTCCCACTCTGCGGGACTTTGGCTGCCGCAGGAGCCGCCGTCCGGCCCGAGGCTGGCCGGCTCTCTCCTCCACCCACCCACCTTCCTCCCTAGCTCCCCTGGAGAAGTCAGGGGGTCTCTCCACTCCGTGTGAGTAGTAAATTTAAGGGCAGGGTTTTAAGTTCTTTCCAGGTGTTTGGTCTTTGGCATATCCTGGAACCAACTCAATGAGGATCTTGGTGATGCGGCATCTGCGGATGAAGAGACGTGAGTCTGCAGAAGCCTCTTCAGCTCCTCATTTGAGTGTGAACTCATTGAGAGCATGGACTGGCTTACTGCACAGTGCTTTGCACTTAATAAGCGATTAATAAATTGCCCCCCCATCCATTCATTCAATCCTTATCTGTGCCCCTGAGTGCGATCAAAGCCGAGACGTTCAGCATAACCAAATTGTAAGCCTCAGTACCCTAGATCCTTTCTCTCCTGCAGTCAGTTTAAATAACATTCTCAAAGGACAGGGAAATGTTTTCTGTCAAGCCACAGGAAAGTGGAAGGAGACGGAGTTAATGGCACCGTACAAAATGTAATAACTCCATTTCTGGATTAAAAAAAGGCGGGAGGGGGGACCGAAAAGGATTTAACCAAGTCAAAGATGGTCAAGATTTCTGACCCGGAGGCTAGTCAATAGAAGTGATCACTAAACGTTTATAGCAAAACTTCAATCGTTTTTACAACCCATTTCCCAGAGCAGCTAGGCAAAATGAATGTTATTGCACCATTTCATAGATCAAACACAAGGTATCACAAGGTAAGTAAAAACTGTCTAGATGTAAAGTGACCCTCCCTTTGCTAGGCTTGAAGTCAGGAAGACTCATCTTCCTGAGTTCAAATCTAGCCTCAGACACTTACTAGCAGTGTGACCCTGGGAAAGTCACTTAACCCTGTTTGCCTCAGTTTCCTCATCTATAAAATGAGCTGAAGAAGGAAATGGCAAACCACTCCAGTATCTCTGCCAAGAAAACCCTAAATGAGGTCAGGAAAAGTTGGACAAGGCTGAAACCACTCAAAAACGACAGCTCCTCTTGCAAATCACATCACCTCAAACCTAGTGCTTGGTCAGGTGAGTCCTATCTAAATTCACAGTCTTAGCACCTTTCTCTAATGTGCTGAGAGAGTCATTATTTTATAAATATAAACAATACCTAGATATAAGAGGGATTATTAATGGAGTCTAGTTTTATGAATATGGCTTAGTTTCTGGGATCCAGGCTGCCACTGAACAGCTGTGCAAACTTGGGCAAAATCTGAGTTTACTGTCTAGAGCATGGAATATCATAATACATATTATAATACCTGTGCCTCCACTTCTTTTCTTCAGTCAACAAATATTTGATAAGCTCCTACTGTATACAAAGCTATGCTAGGCGCAGTAAAAGATAACATTAGGTAAGCTAGGACCCATGATCCCATGGGGATTTCTTTTCTTCCCCAGACCTGATTTCATTTGGACAGAAACATCAAGTGTGGATATCCCCTCTACAGGGCAGAAGAGGAACCTTCAAAATAAAGGAAATGATGTGAACAACAGCAACAATATGGCACCAGAAGGAGGCAAGGCACATTGAGGTTACATAGAGTAGACCAGTTTGGTTGGAGCATAGAAGGAAGAGTGTAGGATGAAACAACGTTGGACTATTGTATTTGTGAAAGGCCAGCTTTGAACGATGACACAGATTCCATCTTCCCAGTGACCAGGGACCCAACAATGATAACATGCAAACAGTAACATTTTGCACCCCTTTTTAAACTTGACAACTATTCTAGCCATGTGCTCATTGTAAATTTTGTTTGGATACAAAACACACAAAAACAATCATGCTTTGCTTTCAGCTCTAATTTCCTATCAACCCTTATTAACACAGTTTAGTTTACTCAAAACTAATTGCTTGCCCAGTCTCTCCACCCTCAGAGTCAAACTGGGTGTAAGTAAGGTAGGCAGTCAGAAGGGTTCAGCCCAGGAAAGGGTGAATAAAAGGATGTTACTTTGCATAATACTTTTTCTAAATGTTCTTTTTAAATCTATAAAATTCCATTCTCCTTTTAAAATAACTATTCTGAAATTAAACACCAAAAAAAAAAATCTCTATATACAGTAGACACAAAAAGAGGATTCTTTATGAAATCTCCATGAATCTACATTTCATACTACTCATTTTAAGTATGTTATAAATTCTATACATTACTTTCAAAATGCTTCCTTCTAAACTTCCTTTTGTCAATTTCTGTGCATTTTTTAAGATGTTACAATGGCCTCCCTTTTTTTTGCATCATTATTGTCAACTCTTACTCTTCAAAACCCTCCCCCAATTAAAAACCAAGAGAAATAAAGAAAAATAAAATCCTTCATAAGAAATAAGTTTGGGTCAAGCAAAAACAAATCCAACAGTGGCCAAATCTAGAAACATATGCCTCTTTCTGCACCTTTCTCTTTCAGGAGGAAAACAACATGCTTCATCACTGGTCCTGTATGAACTGACTCAGAGTGAAGTGAGCAGAATGAGGAGAACAATTTGTATGAGGATGGTAACATTGTAAAGAAAAAAAAAACTGGAAGACTTAAGAACCTCTGTTTTTCTTATTTAACTCCCTCAATAACCTCTAAAGACACTAAGGTTCTGAAGCTACTCTTGTTTCTTCTCCTTCTATTAAAAAGTTAGCACTGCATCATCATACAGCTATTTCCAATTACTCAAATTTAATTTTCTCAGATTTCCTTCTTAGTTTTGGTCTTTTCATCAGCAATGTTTGAAAGTTCTCTTTTCCTTAAAGATCCATTTTCCTCTCTATATTATTATACTCTTCAGAATAAATTATTCCTCCTTGTGAACCTATATATTTTGTATTTTGGAATGGCAAGATCTGTACTGTTTTTGCTTTTGTAGAAGCTGCCAGGTCTTATGTTTTCCTGACTATAATTCCTTGGTACTTGAATTTCCTTTTCTGTATGCTTGCAGTATTTTTTCTTTTGACAGAGGATTTCTGGATTTGGCTCTGACACTCCTGGGATTTTTTCAGGAGATCATCAGATTTTTTTCTTTCTTTCTTGACTTTGCCCTCTGATTCTAATAGATTCAGACAGTTTTCATTTGTGATTTCTTGAAATATGGTGTCTGTTTCTTTTTTTATTATTATAGGAATCATGAAATTCAGTGTTTGTTAAATCGTCTCTCCTTGACCTATTTTACAGGTGGTTGTTTTTTTTTCTTATTAGTTATTTCATATTTTCTTCTGTTTTTTTGGTCTTTTAATTTTGTTCTGATATTTCTTGCTATCTCATGGAGTCATGATTTCTATTTGGTACATTCTAGTTTCCAGGGAGTCTATTTCCTAGGTAAGATTTACTTCTAAGCTATTTATTCTCCTTACAATTCTTCCCTCCAGAGCTTTTATTTCATTTTTTATCTCTTATTTCATTCCTTCTAGATATGCATGTAGTCCTTGTAGAAAATCAGTTTTCTACTTTGAGTTTCTTGCAGTTATTACAGAGTTATTCTCTCCTTCCTTTAGGAGATCAATAAATTTACAATAACTTTTCATACTGGTTGATTTTCTTTGATCAACTCATCTCTCCATCCTTAGTTCCTGAAATGGGACTTTGTGACAGAGCCAGGCTTTTGTGCTTTTGAGTGGAGTGGTTGGCCCTGCTTGGTCTTACCAGATCTGGGTCTCCTGGGTTCCTGGGTTGACCTCTACCTCCCAAAGTTAGACTCTACTGAGATTCAGAGCGCTGGATCTTCAGAGCCCTCTCTGGCATCTCAGAACAAAAGTTTAGGAACTTGAGAGAGCCTTGGCTTCAGTTGTCTAGTTCTGAGTACTATGGCACTATATTGGTTGTTAGTCACTACCTATTACTGCTTCCTAGGGTTTTCTTACTTCTGGGTACTTCTAGGGGATTCCTCTGCACTTGCTGCCTCTGGACACTGAGTCTTGTACCCTATGTATCTTCATCTCTAGTTGCAATGGGAGGCTACCTAACCCTAGTCCTGGTTTTGCTGGAGGAAACCCCTTTTCTTATTGCCTGTGAGTTTCTGGCTGGGTTTTTGTGTAGTTCTGGAGATGGGAAATGTGACTAGTTTCTCACTGGATTTCTTAAGCATTATTTGTTCTGGTGGGAATTTCATGGCTTTGCTGGAGAAGTTATGTGGGAATTGGGTGGTCAGTCTTGTTTCAGGCAGCCATGTAGTAGAATGAAACTCCACTCTTAATCACCTAATCAATCAATCAACAAATATTTATTAAAGCACTTACACTGCAACTACATCAGGTGTTTGTAAAAAGAGCCCTTCTGGATTCTAGTCTCAGCTCTGCCACTAGCTTTCAGGATGAGCTTAGGAAAATCGATTCCCCTCATCTGCTCTCAGTTTTTTCATCTAAACGATGAAGAAGTTGGACTAAATAATTTCTAAGATCTCTTTAAGCCCTAGATTATATGATTCCATGTATGATCTAAGAGAATTAGTGCACCTTTCTATGTAGTTCTATCTAGATACTAGCATTTTTACTCATAAAT